AGGCGGAGATTTGGACGAATCCGCGGTATTGATTTCTTTTCTATGGTTATGGTCATACGGTGTGAAATCAAACTCGTATAAATGTGCAAAAAAAGGCTCAATTATTTAGGAAAATTGTATCAGCAATGTAAGACTCAAACATCCATAGAAGAACACATGAAACGCTCCCATTTGCTATTTTAAAAAATGCTGCGTCTGGCGACTGCGATGGATGTAATTGAGTGGCGCTCGCGTTTTTTTTTTCAGAATTTTTGCTCTTATACAGAAATCAACTTAAAGTTGTTCTGAAAACTGCGATGAACGAAATCCTAGTTTGCAAAGCGTTAGCCAACTCTGCGGTGATTGATTAATTAAAAGGATCTCTTGTACTCCAAAATGGCACTTCAAATGTGGCAGTCTCGCGTGGTTAGCTCAAGCCTCATACGTCTACATCATGCTGCGAGAAAGACGGCATTTCTTCAAACATTTTTGTAATGGTGCTCTCAGAAGGTCGTCACGTTTGGGTTTCGCTCAATTCAAAAGTCAAGGAATCGCTAACTCGGTTTAGCATCTTGAAATATTTATCTGATTCACTAGATCCATGCGCATGTAGAGTACTAGCGCATAACCCTAAATGCAGAGCGTTTACAATACTCAGCCAAAGTTAAAACGAAAATTGATCGGCTTCGCAAAAGCCTCGACTCAAAATTAACGAGCTTTTCTTCGTATTTGTTATGATTTAGATTCATCAGGCTGAAACTATCAATTTCACAATCTATTCATTGTAAAATCTCACAGATAACATAAGTTGCACTGAAACTGTGACATAACTGATAGTTCTGCATATAACAATAATATAATTCATTAATTATATAAAAATCATTGCCATCAATCATAGATTCAAAGAAGACGATCAAAAGGGTAACACTGCAAGATAGTAGCTGAAATCTAGGTATCACATCTTTGAAATCTAATAAATTAGATATGTACGAGAAAAAGATGTGTAACTAGTGAAAAAAGGATTCAGAAAAAAAAACACTTTTGTCATTCATTTCCCAACATGGATGAATGATAAGGGAGCAGTTGCCGCGCCATGGCGAAGACATTCATATCAGCGCCATGAGCCGTACACACCTCGATGATGACTCCATCCGTTATGTCCTCCCCGATGACTATACGAACCATAAATTCGTTCACCGTTGCTCCATGGACCAAATTTGCCACCGGGCTCGCTCCAATGCCCAAACGGGCCTCGATCACTTCTAGCACCGTAGCCATGCCTATGAGCTCGCCAAGGGCTGACTATGGCATTGCGCCTTCTCCAGTAGCCAAGCCCGTTCTTCCATTGGGCAGATGTTGATATGACTAGTAGCAGAAATAGAAGGATTAATGCTTTCATACTGAAAAGAAATCAGGTGAAAGTAATTAAAACGAAAGGGTAGTATGAAACTGTATTTCAGAAAGTCTCATGGACATGGATTAAGAATCAGAAATTTACAACGATACAAAACTCATGAATATGTAGGTATCACTGTGGGGTTATTAAATTGTAAACTCAGCGTCGTTACCGATTGCTATGTTCAATTTGTACAAACACTTTATTTTCATATGGTAGTGAAACTGTTATTCTTTTTTCTCGCAAATCCTCCGGAAATTTTGAGTTGTTTGTTTGTAACAATTTTTTGACCTCAACTCTGCAGTATTACTACCATACACTGCAATCAATCACGTTTGTAATGAAATCCAATGATAATTTTTCGATTATCTATCCAAAATAGGTTATCCTATCAAGAAATGTCAATGTTGAAAGAAGTGAGGAGTCATGGTTGATGGTTACAAACACACTACAAACACACAAACACCCATGATGTCGAGAGAGATTCTGCGCTTTATCATAGCAGATGATTTCATATAGCAGTATTAGCAAACACGAATAATCTAGCGATATCAAACGCTTAATTCTGCAATAACTTCCATGTAAGAATTGTTAGAAATTTTCAAAATTACCTGACAGCCTAAGTGTTGCTTTCCCTTGCCAACATGAGGTACTCAAGCTAAATAAAAGTTCTATATGCATTTTTTTTTCAATTGCTCTCCCCTCTCTTTAGTTGCAAGTTAATCATTTAGTGTCATTATATTGCTCAATGCCAGCAGCAGAACATCTTTAAAAAG